AACAGTACGAATCTCAGTAATCGCATAGTAGTTATAATTCTGTTTAGTATGCACTATTTTCGCTAAAAGTGAACTGGTCTCATAAAATGTTGGATAAATTTAGGTTGCAAAACATGTTTGACACAACTATTTTTCGGGACCTACCTAGTTGTCAGAAAAATGACAAGTAAATTACAGCAACAGCGAGCTACAGACACACAAACTTAAAAAAAAAAATTTGAATTTTGAAATATAGAAACACTAATAATAAAAAAAAAAATTGGATTTTTAATTTCGAAATCATTGTAACTATTTTTTTCGTTAGCATTATAATGTTATTCATTAATTATTATTATTTTAAATTAATCGAAATATAACCATATATACATTTATGTGCATATTGTTTTTTATTCATTTATTTCATCTCTTAACTACCTGAGTATATTATGTATATTATGAGTACCTAATAAAAATTGAAAACCAATATGTTTTTATTTTTGTTTATTCATTTAAACTTCTGACTGGCAGTTATAATCAGTATTGAATCCAGACAATTTTTCTAGAGGTGGTATTACTATAGTTATAGACTTTTTTTTTTTCTGCTTGTCTATCCTTTTACTAAAACCAGTCAAATTTGTTTAAATATTAATTTACCTATATTTAACAGGAAGGGCAAACAAAGATCCAGGAACTATTGGATCTCCCCCCTCTCTGACATATACTTGGATTCATCAACACCGGTTATAATGGATAAATTGAAATTGATTGCAGTACCTATTTACTATTCGTCTTATTTTCGAATTGTGTAACGGTAACTTAAATACTTGATGTACTATTATATAATTCAATATTTGGTTAATAGTGTGTATTGTTGTTGTTATTGTAGGTAACCATCATAAATTATTATGATCCGATATTGATCCAGTAACTACTGGTGCAACTGTCAATACTACAGTTGTGTTAAAGGATTTTTGACACATTAGGATAAGATTTTTAAGATTTTTAAGGAATGACATAAATCGCAAAGTATTGACTGACGAAAAATTTAAGATTTTATCGAGATAAAAAATATCAAATTCTATCTGTGTGCCAAATTTCACTCAAATCCGTTCGGTATTTTTGTTCATTGATAAGTAGACTACATAAAAATTATACGGTCAAATGTGAATACATAAATAATTGGTACGGGGAGGTTAGCCCCCATCTCCGTTAAATATTTATATAATTCAAAAGTCTGTATTATCTATTTACAATTAATAATGTACAGTATTTTCAGCACTGGATTACACCGCCATATAATTACGTAATTAACAAAATACACGACGTGTGAATATATAGAATAATACAAATGATACAAATGACTGACAGAAAATAATATTTTGTTATGAAAAATGCATTGGTTATACGTTTTTTTTTTTTTTTAAATTAAAGTCGTGAGCCACCACTAGACATGAAATTCGGTTGACCGGCGCCTTTCGAAAATTGCATAGGCCGACCGGGCACCCCAGGCTGCCACCGTAGACACGCCTAGGCCGCGCACTAAAACGTTTTTATTGATATTACATTATACTTCGTTACGGCATCCACTTTTGGGAAAAATGCAATAACAATGCGAACGAAAGTGTTATACTGCTCGGTATCTGCGCGTTGTCACAAAGAAACGCGTTTAGAAAGCTGAACGATAACGATTTATTACACCGCGTTTATACGTTTTGTTAACAATAACCGCTACGCCCAAAAACCTAATGTCGATTTGTCCTATTCGTTCGGGGAGACATAATGGCGACGATAACGATATTTCAATTCGATTACTTTCGTTACAAACGACAGGCAGGTATAGGCGTAATATTATGTAATTAATTAAAATCGATTGGTTTTTTTTTGTTTTTTTTTTTGTTTTTTTTGTTTGGGGATTCCGATCGCCGTCGTTTTAACCGTTTGTCCGCTCGGAATCGTTTTGTCGCACGTAATACAGTGCCGCCGCAGTGTTAATCAGTAATAATATATTACTATTACAGTCTCTACCCGATCTGTCCAAACTAATAGCGCGTTCGACTAATAACTCCACGGACACGGGCGGCGCGAGTCAGAATATCCGTCCCCGAATGTTTATTTCAGTTGTTTTTATCTCCGAACGGATCTCGAATCGCTTGAACGGAAAGTATGTGAATGAATGTTAATAAAAAAAAAAAAAAACAAAACAAACCGTACGCCTAATTATTCTTTTGAATATAATACACAAAAAACAGACATCGAACGCCCCACAGTGTTGTTACGCTACGAGTTATTTAGTAGACACACACACACACACACACATAAACACTGCATTGGAGATTTTATTACACCTCAAAACAAACGAATAAAAAACCATTTAGAGTACGGGGGGGGAAGAACAAAAAAAAACCGTCAACAGTCGTGCGTGGTTGTATTATAAGTGATGAGAAAAATCCGGATTTGTCAAAGATCGAAAATCGAAAATACACAGTAATCGTATTGTAAATCCGGATTTTGGAACTCCGTAAATTACCATAAAATATAATATTAATAAATCAAACACATAGTATAGGTTTACGATATTGTTTAAAAACTGACTTTCGCGTTAAAAATGTACATTGTACCTAAAGCATTTAATCTGAAAAAAAAAACTACTGGATTTTCGGACGGACAAAACGTGGACCCGAATTCTCGAATCCGAGCCCTTTCGGATGATCCGCGGAAAACCGAACGGACGGTCTGCTGCGCGTCTCCAATCGCAAACTCGCCAAAGGCCCACACCCGAAGTCCTCGCCGCGGTGAAAGCATGAGCCCCGAATAAAATAATTCCAACCGTCGCACGCTCGACCGTAAATGGATGTCCGCCGACACCACCGCGGCAGCAATACCCGTAAGATTAATTACCGTTGGCGTGCGAGTGTAACAGGGGTTAAAAATTGTGAACCCGTCCGATAAGTATTTTTTATTGTTATTATTTTTTTTTTCCTCTCGGTGTTTTCTACCAGTCAGCTAGCCCGCTGTTCTCTCCGCGAGCGCGCACGTTGCACGGCACGTATTATTATTACATTGTAATACGCCTCGATCGATCGCTTATCAAAACAATCGGAAATTAGTGGCCCCATTGTGTCGGCCGTGTATACCGGCCGTTTATATTTTATACCTTTAAGCTTGATCCCTATACGCACAAACACACGCACACACACACACACACACACACGAGAACGAGGCTAGTAAACGAATCGAACACCACCGGTCTTCGAACCGTTCGAGAATCCGGCCCCGGAGAGACCCTTACGATTTTCGACGGGTGCGAAACTTCGTCTCATCGGCATTTCTACGCCGGGGCGTACGATTTTCGAGCGAGGCGCCGCACGGTCGTCTGGGGCCTAAGCGTACCTGTAATTATTCTCCTTCGTCTATTGCTGTTAATAGTCATGAGATTATAAAGAATTTATCGCGGCTATTATCCACATAATAATTCCCCCGTTGTATTAGTTTAGATCATTGTTCCCTCCTCCCACACTCCTATTCGTGTCTTCCGCGATACGGATCATATACGGGTATACAGGGTGATCCATCAGGCACCAATAAAGTAAGACACTCATTATCCCGGAAATTATTAGCTTTTTCCGACATTTTTTTTTTTTTAAACATTTAAGAATAGGCGTAGCTCTAGATTGTTACATTTTTTGTCACACTTAAATTCGGTGTAGCCATTTTTAATATTCGTCTACCCGTTGACGAGATATTTCATTTTTGAGCTTTGGCGGGAGGGGGAAAAAGTAGTGCATCATTTGTGTGACGCACGGTGCCCCACACCGTGCCAGTGTCACATTAATTATGTCCCACCACTCTTCTCTTACCTAAACTTAAACATATAACGACTCGTCAACGGGTCGACGAAAATTGAAGATGTCAACACCAAAATGCATTTGAATTAATACTCCATCACTTTATAGATTTTGTTTAGTGTTGTTTAGTTTTGGTTGTTATTTGAAAATCAAAAGTAAGTATTGGTTTCGCCTCTTCATACAAGATCGACAAAAAATAACTGAAACGCAGAGCTACGTATTACGAGGTGTGGCTATTAAATAACGAGACTGGTTACGAAAAAGTGTTTTATTATAAAAGTTATTCTACATTCAAATGCTCCCCTTCAATATACTCCCCTCCCCTCGCCACACACCGTTTCATTCGTTTCTTCCATTGCTCGAGGCAGTGCTGGAAGTCTGTTTTCGTAAGACCATTCTGGAGTTCCGTCGATTTTTGTTTCACCTCTTCCATCGACTCAAACCGGATTCCTTTTATGGCAGACTTTATCTTCGGAAACAAGTAAAAGTCGCAGGGTGCCAAGTCGGGTGAGTAAGACGCGTGTTCGAGTACTGGAGTGCCTTAAGCGGCCAAATAACGCTTCACGCTTTATCCTGGTGCAAGATCCACGGCTTGTTTTTCCATAATATCGACCGTTTCTTGCGAACTCATTCGCACAATGATGCAAAAACTGTCAAATAGTAATGTTGGTTCACAGTTTGACCCTCTGGAACCCATTCAGTCATCACGATGCCGTTGATATCGAAGAAAACGGTTTTGAATTTGGATTACGACTGAATTGGATTCCGGTGCACTCTCGACCTTCAGAAAATAATTTATGCCACTCAAAAACACGCACCCGAGAAAGGAAATCCTCACTATAGGCCTCTTTTAACAACTTATAGCACTCAGTTGGAGTTTTTTTTAGTTTAACGAGAAAATTTTACGTTTATCCGTTGCTCATGTTTTTCGTCACACATGGCACAAGAAAAAAACACGTTCGTTTCAAACCACTACTGCACAAATACTATAATGGTGACGAAAACGTGTTTTGGTACGTGCATAGATAAAATATCTAGATACTTAACGCATTACTCGTTTTTTTCCCTACCCATCTAGGGTGCCCTCTAGGCGAGCAGTCTCGTTGTTTAATAGCCACACCTCGTATATATTAAACAAATTCTGAAAATTTAATGTTTTCCGAGATGTCAAGCGTCTTAAGTCTCGTCGATCACCCTGTATGTTCCACTCTCAGTCTCCTCTTTCCTCGCGTATCCTTCAGTCAGCTCCTTCGGTATTATCGTCTCTAGTGAGCTTTGGCGAACTTCATGTTCATAAAATAGCTGCCGTTTTTTCCGCTTAAAACCACTCCGTTTGTAACTCCGTGGGATTTTTAGCATTTTTTCAAAGTCTCGTACCTCGAAGGCATCCAGTTTAATACACACATATATCATAAACGCATGCAACTGTAACTGTTAGCATAATAACGTTACACGTATAATATTGCGTATGCGTCACGAATTGCGAGAAGCACCTATGCGTTATCGTGGACGCATTTGTTTTTTTTTTTTCAAAATAATAATACAAAAATGTTTTTAAAAAAACGAGAGGCGTTTATGATTAATGGCTCGCGTGAAGACGAGGTAAATAACGTTCGGGGCGGGGGGGTTTGTATAATAATATGATGTTGTTGCCAATTGAAGAAGTCGCTTACTTAGGTTTTTTTTTTTTTTTTCCAACTTCTTTTTCTTCTTCTTGTCGGGGGGAGAACCGAACAGGAGAAAAAAAAAAACCTAATTAGAGAACCAGCGGGGCGCGCATCGGCCGGGTGACCACAGGGGTCTCCGCGGCTGTTCTGTGCAGGGCCCTTCGCATGTCTGGACACGCCCTGCTACTGTAGAAGCAGCGCGCTCGTCCGTCTAAATCGTCTTTTCGACGGCGACGCGCAGCCGGTTTTACAGTATTGTATTATTACATTTCAGGGACCCGGGCGCGGCGTTTAACAGAACTAATAAACCGTCTAATATTTCCCCGGCTACGCGCGATGACGACCGATGATGGAAAAGTGTTTTTTTTTTTTTTTTTTTGTCCGTCGCCGATGCTGTTCTTTGTCGGCGGGTGGCGAAACTGCTGCAGGCAGAGGCGGCCGGGTAGGCATGTTTCGATGATTAAACGGTTTTTTTTTTTTATGATTAAAC